CAAAGAGGATTAGGGGACGGGAGGCTAAAACATAAGAAGAACGGTTGCAGGACCTGGGCATGGGTAGTTTAATAGAAAGAAGGACTAGGGGAGACATGATAGCAGCCTTCCAATATCTCCACAAAGAAGAGGGAGTCAAGCTATTCTCCAAGGCACCTGAGGGTAGAACAAGAAGCAGTGGGTGGAAACTAATCAAGGAGAGAAGCAACCTAGAACTGAAGAGACATTTCCTGACAGTGAGGACAATTAATCAGTGGAACAGAAGTTGCCTCCAGAAGTTGTGAATGCTCCAATACTGGAAGTTTTTAAGAAGATGTTGGATAGCCATTTGTCTGGAGCGGTATAGAGTTTCCTGTCTAGGCAGGGGGTTGGACTGGAAGACCTCTAAGGTCCCTTCCAACTCTGTTGTTCTATTCTATTCTAAAACTAGTCAGGTATCTGCTCAGTCTGGGCCTCTTTGCACCTCTTCATATCCCCCGGTGTCCTTGCTTTTTGCTTTCTCCCGTTGAGGTTCTCCAACGAGGCGATTCCTGCCTCTTCAAAGTCACTCTCATCTGGAGAAACACCTGCATGGGGAAACCTCACAGGTAGAGCTCTACGGGTGGGAGTTCCCACATGAGCTCAGACTTTCCACTCTCTGAATTGGAAGCTGAGTGGGCGTTCAGGAAGGCATCTCTGCTGACTACGCAGGTGGCCCTTCAAAGAAGACCTCCTCAGGGCAACCATGAAGAGTAGGCCTTGGGTTAGTCAGTGAACCTCCATTGGCTTAGAAGTTCCTGCCACGGTGTGGGCATCGGGCTTCCTTTCTGATGAGTGGCTTCCAGCTTGATCCTTGATGCCTGTAATTTGAACCATCTCCATCTCCACCCAACCCATGTCACCTTGCTAAAGTGTTAGGGTGCAGCTCCTCTTCCTCCCAAGGCGAACGCATCTGGGGTGGAACTGAAGCCCCTCTCCTCTAGAACCCGAACGAAAGGACGAAACAGTCCTAAAGTGAGTAGGAAGCTGCCAGGAAAGTTAAGAGGGAAGTGGGAGGGCAACGTCAAACAAGAATGGGCTGTTTCCTTCAGGTCCTCTCTACGTCCTTGTGGAATATGCCTCCAAGGGGAATCTAAGGGAATACTTGAGAGCTCGTCGCCTACCCGGCATGGATTATTCCTTTGATACCTGCAAGATGCCTGAGGAACAGCTGGCCTTTAAGGACTTAGTCTCCTGCGCCTACCAGGTGGCCCGAGGGATGGAGTACCTGGCCTCTCAAAAGGTGAGTAGCGAAGCATTTGGGGAAAGTAGCCTCACACAAGAGACTAGAGAAGGTGGCTTATGTGGGGAACGTGGAGCAAAGGCTCCAGGCTGTATTAAGGAGGAGAAGAATAACATTGGGCCGGATGGAAGGGGAGATAAGGAGACTCTAAAACAGTGTTTCTCAACCTTGGCAACTTGAAGATGTCTGGACTTCAACTCCCAGAATTCCCCAGCCAGCGAATGCTGGCTGGGGAATTCTGGGAGTTGAAGTCCAGACATCTTCAAGTTGCCAAG